CTCAGTGGGGCCTTTGGAGATGACTTCATATTTTGGTGTATATGAAGGTAAGGAGCGAGGGCTTGCTCCTGCTTATACAGAGGCTCCTGCTTGTAGAGGAACATCTTGGGTATCTTCCGCCCTGGTACTCGTATCCACGTCCTCTGTCTGGGCAGCGAAAACTTTGCTGATATGTGACTCGGTCGAAGTGACTTTTTTTGCCCCCCCCCTGTATGTGAGCATCCTACAAGGCAGACGCGCACGCACCTACGAGTAGAAGGCGCTGTGAAATGCCTACTAGTAAGAAACCCATTAGATTGATACGTAAGTCTTCCAATCCGAAAGTAACCAACTTGTCTCAATCAATCAAAATCCGTCGCCCATCGTTATCCAAAAAAGAAGACAGCAGCCTTACAGACCATGTGGAATTGAACCAGCTGTCTGTCCAAGAACAAACAAAGAAAACACTGCGAACACACGATTGACCAACACAGTTCTTTGCTATTCTGCTTCAGAATGAGAAACACTGACGGAATAGGATGCGGTAGGATACACATCGACCAGGAATCAGCAACGATGTTGAAAAATTCAAGCCCATTCAATGGATCCCCTCCATTCCTAGCATTTTATAAAACTCACTGAGCTTGGACTACTGTAACCAAACTCAACAGTTTCACCCCATCTTCTACTTCTTTCTCCTTAACTCCTGACACCCATTCAATAAAAAAATTTTGGAAGAAAAGAAGAGCATCTCATTTCTATACATAAAAACCCATTTTTTTTTGTTGAATCTCAATTGCCCGTATTATTTGGGTTTATCTAGCTTCTGATTATAAAGCAATTCTCACTGTGTTCAGCCTACAGTGTCTCAATATTCGCTCCGTGATGGGCAGTTATATTTGCGAGGGACTGCATCAAATCCGCACCTGATGAGAAATAGGTAGGGGAGGGGAGGGTGGTTGAGTAGAACCAGTGCAAAAAGACCAAAGCGCCGAGAGTCAATCAATCCTTATATGATGCGGCACGCATATTACTTCTACCCATGGTGACAAACCCGTAATCGGCTCACAAAAGGACCCGCTAGGCGGATACTGTTTTCATTCTCCGAATCTACCACGGTAGCCACTACCAAAGGGAATAAAA